CCCACACCTCCTCCAGTACCTTCAGGGCCTTTCCTGCTGGCAGCTGCTCTGGGAAAGCTGGGTCTCTGCAAAACCAGGCACTGCTGATGCTGGTCTGAGAGCAATCCCGCAGGACACCTAGGTGGGATGCGGCAGTATGGCATCCTCTCCCCATCCCTGGCAGTGCCCTGGCAGGACCGACAGCTCCTTTCCCAGCGCTGCTCCCCCCAAGCCCACTCACTCCATGAAGCGGTTGATATACTCTGCAGGCAGCTGGAAGAGCGCCTCAAATTCATCACGGGCCCACTGTTGAGGGGGAGTGGGTGTTGAGCACTGGGACCTCACCTCATGCCCCCAGTGCAAGCTGAGGACGAGGGAGAGGCTGTAGTGGGGCCAGCAGCAGCACTCAGGCTGCCAGCAGGAAGCAGCTGGGGCTGTATCTTGCCCACAGTCCAGCATCAGAGGGGAAATGGGGAAGGAAGGCAAAAGTTCCAGCGCCTCCTCACTGGGTACTAGCGGGGAGGGCAGCTCAGCCTACCTGCAGAGTGTGCTGGATGGTGCTGGGGAAGTACCGTAGGGTGCAGGGGGGGAAGGTACCATCTCGCGGGGTGCCAATTGTCCCCAGAGGCTTGGTCAGGGGGGGCACCATGGCCAGCACGTTCCCCCGTGGCCCTTCTGTGCCCGCATCTAGCAATGGTGTGCGGCAGCGGAGGCAGCAGCTCTCCAAGTAGGCACCTGCAGGGAGCCAGAGGTGCTGGGGAGCCAGGCGGCATGTCCAGGAGCTTGGCCCCTTTCCCCTCCCTGGCACTCACGGGCCTCCAGTGTGTCCAGGGCACTGACGACACCGTCCAGGCGCCGGAAGAAGTTGTCCCGGTAGATTGGTTCGGTGGCAGGTCCCACCTGGTTCTGGTGAGCTGTCACCCTGACATCACGGTTCATGCGCTGCACAGCTGCAGCAGCCACCACTGACTTCGGCTTCTGTCAGGGCAGGGAGCGGATGGGCAGCACTCCCCCACCTCACAGCCCTGGGGAGTCCCTAGGACCGCCAAGATGCCCTTCGGGAGGAGC